AAAGTCGTAGGGAGAATGAAAAATCTTTATGTGAGTCCCAACGCGGTTGCTATGAGGCGGGCGGGTTCTGTGTGGGGTCCGCCAGGGCATTGACTGCCTTGTAGAGATGGGGCATTCTTAGGACCAGGCTTAGTACGATGGTTAGGGAATGGCTCACAGGGATGCCACACCAGAGGTGGGACATGAGACAAGAGGACAAAAAATAGAATCGAAGCCAGACAGGTTATAACTAGCGCAAGGAGTTGGGTAGTATGGCAACAGAGCTCTTGAAATCAATAGCTCTGGAAATGGACAAGGGTAAAGTCAAGTTCATAGACTAGTTCATTCATTTATTCAACAAATTCTGAGCTGGAGTTATAGATCAAGCACTGTTCTAGTCTCTAAGGTCTTTATGATGAATGACTTACAGCTCTTGCCCTCAGGGAGGATATGTTGTTGTGGAGAGTAAAGACTTTAGAAAGATTCTGTATGGTGGTGAGAAACACTAAGAGGAAAATAAACAGATGGATGGAGCAGACAGTGCCTAGTAAGGCAGGGAGGGGTGACAAAAGAACAGGAAAGGCTACATGAGAGTATGAAACTTGAACCGAGGTGTGAATGATGAGAAAGAGCCAGTCAAGGAATGATCTGGCATTCCATAAGACGTGCAAAGGCCCTGGGGCTGGAATAAACTTGGCATGTCAAAGAATATTTATAAGGCTGGAGTGGCTGGAAGAAGTGGAAGTGGAAGCAGGAGGGGGTGACAGGGCCATTTTGCATGGTGCCCTGGGGGGCAGAAAAGAGTTTAGATTTTATACTATGTGTAATGAGAATCTATAGGAGGGTTTAAATGGGGAACTGGTTTGATCTGAGTTCCAAGAGTGTCCTAGCTTTGTAGATATGCATTTTTCTAGAACAGGCAAGAACAGAGGAATCTTGTTTTCCTGGGGGTGGAGGGAGCAGGTCAGGAGACCCTTGATCAGGGACTTTAAGTGCACTGAATGTTGATTGCAACAAGGTGTTAGACAAAGGCTGCCTTGGAGAAGTGGTGATAGGATGATAGTGACTGAAATGATTGATTTATTCCCTCAAAGTGTTGATCCAGGATTACTGTCAGGCTGCAGGGAGGATCTCCAGCAGTGTCTCTGAGGCTCAGGCCCTGGACTGTCTCCCGTTCAACATTTCTATCCACAAGTTAGCGGGAGACCCAGAAGACGTACTCACCAGACATGCAGCTGATGTGGAGCTGTCAGGGACAGCTAAAGCCACGGATGACAGTCTCAGGATTCACTGCAATGATCCTCTGTGAGCCCAGCGATATCCCTGACTGCATTCAGATTGGGGAACAAAGCCCAGCCTCAGAGCGAGCAGGGAGATCTCAGTGGGTGATGGCCCCGGACAGGAAGCCCGGTTGGGTGGGAGGAGGTGGTGACGGCAGCCAGACCCGTCCACATCCTCACACCAGCCTCTCTACTTTCTCCATTACAAGGTTCTTAGCCTCTTTCAGGCTCACTTTTCCCATTTGTAAGGTAGAGATGATACTGTCTTCTGCCCAGGGTTGTGGAGAGGATTACCTTCGAGCTGGCTTCCTGTTTGGCCTGTGGTGGATTCGCGACAGATACAAGGAAACAGGAGTTTGTGGAGGCCGTCCTGGAAGGGCCAGGCGCTCTGGGCAGTCTTTCAGGGCACACGGAAGACCCACAGCCAGGGTGGCCCCTTTGTTTTTGGCACTGCACCGTCCCTTCTGGTAATGCCAGCTTCCTAGAGGCCCAGTGAGCCCTGTGATGTGTCTGGAGGAGAATGAGGAGTATAAGCAGGTGTTCACACACGGCTCTGGCTGGGTTCTGCCAGCCTGGTACCCTGGTGGGGGAGGGGTGGGAGCATGCTTTCAGATGTTGAGAAGGGACCTCCTGTGGGGTTTTTTTTAGTACAGGGACTTAGGGCTCTGTGGATCTTTTATAAATTGCTTTAAGTTCTCCTTGGAGCTGGTACTTTAAAGGATTCAGTGATGAGACTTTTCTGTGTAACGTTTTTATTAAAAAAAAAAAAACAGAAACCAAACACAAAAGTAGAGCGAACAGTGTGTGATGAACCCATGTACCCATCCCCCAGCTGTAGTGATGATCACCACAGGGCCCATCTCGTTTCAGCCATCGCCCTCTCCCCTCTCCTC